CCCCCCCCCCAAAAAAAAAAAGGATTGAAAAATAAAAAATAAAAATCAATTGTGCTCCCAAGTACAACTCGTCAACGAACAGATAGCCATGGGAGAAAAAAATGAGCAGCAGTTGGCTTTGAGAGGTGTGCAGCCAAATTATGGCGATGGCGATGGCGATGAAGATGATGATGATGAAGATGATGAAGATGATGAAGATGAAGATGATGATGACCACGATGGCAATCAACGACGAGCGATCAAATTCTGTCGCCCTCGTCGTCACCATCATGATCATTGACATCGACGTCATCGTCCTCATCGCTATCATAACTATCATCATGCTCATCGCCATATCGACCACCAACCACAACCATCGTCATCACTGAAGGGTGGGCGGGAAAAGGTTCTCCCCTGTCATTAGATGCTATCATTACTCTAACGATGATGGATCAGCATCTAATGATTGGCGGGAAAAAAATTGCTCCAATCATCCCTCAAAATTGGCGGGAAAAAGGTCCCTTTGTCTTCAGTACTTACAGCTAGATATGGACTCGTTCTATCATCATCCTAATCGCCATCGCCATCGCCATTGAGATCGCCATCGCCATCGTCAAAGCCATGGCGATAACATCGTCGTAGTCCACATGTGTACCTTTTCCTGCTGTTTCACTCGTGCATAAGGGCATAAAAGACTCACACTTGAACTTTCAAGGATGTATGTGGCCGTTTTTCGACCCCGCCTCGATGCATCTGACCGCAATTACGACCAGAGAGAAGCGCCTGGATGCACCTGATCGCAATGACGTCCAGAGAGGAGTGGTGAAAATTTCCTAGTGCGAGTAGTATGCCCTAAGACAGCAGTCGGAGCTCAAGCCTTTCGCCATATAGCCATTACCTTCGTTGATGCAGGGAATATACACAAGACGTTGAGAAGATAAGCTATGGCGACAAGAACAAAAAAAAAAAAAAAAAAAAAAAAAAAAAAAAAAAGACAATGATGATCATTGATCCCCCCCCTCCCCACCCCCTCCACCCCCACCCCCAACCCCACCCCCGCAGCCAAGAAAAAAAAAAGAAAAAGAAAGAGGGTCAGCGAATCACTGCACTGACGATAGTAAGGGCAGCGACCCAAATGAGGAGCACACCGGCTAGACAAGCTCGACTGTAGCAGAACGAGGGTACCAGAAGCCAGGCCCATCCTCCCAAAGCCCCAATTGCCAGTCCCACTACGAGGGAGAGGACCATGATCAGTCCCGCCGCTTCCGCTTCGTGTAGTTCCACTTGCTTGGGAGCGTCCATCATGAGCAGAGAGTTGAAGTACCCGTTGGATACGCCAAGCGCCAGCGTGATGAGCATGACGTACGCTTCGTTGTGAAACATTTCCGGCCCATAACTAATCAGCGCAAAGAGCGGGAAAAATAGTCCCCGCCATAACGTGCACCTCATCACGACCAGCTGGTTCTTGATCACGTGGACCAGCGGGAACATCTTTCCCGCGAAATCCCCCAGATTATAAGATGAGATCAACAGCACCGGGTACCAATTACCGAACAGAGTAGAATGGATGTCTTCCGTAATAAAGCCCGGGAAAATGGATAAGGTAACGACAAAAATCCACGCCACGCTGGCCATGTAGCTCTTGATATGCCAGGCCACTTGAGTAACACGGACAGCTGGCAGTGTTTTGCGATGAGTTGAATGTAGTCCGCCTTCACCGGCAGCAGACGAAGGAGGAGGAGGAGGAGGAGGAGGTAACAAGGGGGAGGAGACTGCATCCCCAAAGTCCGAGTTCCTCCTCCCTCCGGCTCCCCCTCCTCCTCCTCCTCCTCCTCCTCCCCCAATCCCGACCATCATCCTTCTTTTAGCCTCCGTGATTATCCCTTTGGGCGGCGACTTGACAAGTCCATCACTCTCCACTCCAAGAAGAGCACGATCATCATCGCCATCGCTACGATGCCTATTACAAATGTCTTCTTCTTCTTCTTCCCAGTTTCTCGACTCTCCTCCTCCTCCTCCTCCTCTAGTAGTCAAAGGAGTGGCATGGGGATCGTTATCCGACGGCACCGCAAGTACCACATCGGCGCCGGCGGCGCCTTCACTACCAGCACCAACACCAACACCAGCAGCATTCGCCGCCCTCCCGATCCCGACGGCTTGCTCGGTGCTGCCTCTATCGCTGCCCCCCCGACGCCCATGCGCATCCCCGAACTTTCCTTCCTCGTCGCCGAGATCCCGACCGCCACGTTCCCCGCCGCCACCTCCGCCACCTCCCCCACCTCCCTTGCTCCCCCTACCCCCACCATCCCGATACCGATGGTACTTCACGACAGGCAACGACCGCACCACGTGGAAGCCAACCATGCACAGCAGCTCACAAACGAACGCTACTAAGAAGTACACGTAGGCACTCTGCCGTAGCGGCAAAGCCGCCTTGGTCGCCGATCGCAGTAAAGATACAAAGATTCCAGATGCCGCCGTTCCCGCCAAAACCGCTTGAGTGTATTTCGCGGGCAATTCCCCGACGAAAGCGAACGTACTCCCTTGGGCCAAGGCATCCGCTAAGCCCACGACGGCAGTCGATCCCACAGTCAAGATGAGCGTGACTCGAGTGCCGATCGCATGGGAGATGGTACTCTCGCTGCTCCTCACTCCACACCAGTCCACCAGAGGGACTACTAGAATGCACAGAGCAAAGAGCGCGAAGCCAGACAAGGCGCTAGAGGAGGAGGAGGAATGTCGGCCAAGGAAAACCAACAGAAGAAGGGAAGCGAGCATGGGGAAGATGTAGGAGAGGCTGAAGACGCGATCAATGTGGACGCCAGGATAGATGTCGCTGAAGTAATCAATGGCGGTAATAAGGGTATTCCAAGGCATAAGAATGCCCAGGCCCAGCCAGAAGAAGATGACATACGCCAGGTTCCACGTGTCATCAGGAGGGGGAAGGATTGACCGCTGCTTAGCTGTCATTCCGTCCATGATTGCGCTCTCTCTCTCTCTC